AGCCACTGCTGAGATCCAGTATGGCTGCTGCAGGCCCTGGCTGTCCTGCTCACCGTGTGCCTGCCGAGCCAGCGCCAGCGGCTTCCTCTTTGTCAGCCCCCACAGGGCTAAAGACCTGCGGGGGATGTGACGGATGAGGGGGCTGAGAGGGCACCCTGCCCACCCCAAGCATCATCCTGGCCCCCTGCTCACCCATCATCAGCACCAGATACCATGTGCTCCTCGTTGATGAGTTGGATACAGTCGATGGAGCCCCTGTGAAGAGAAGAGGCAACCGCCAGCAGTCACCAGCGTGCTTTGGGATGCTGTTTAGGGGACAAGGGCTCACCAGCGCATCAGCATCCCCAGGGCGCTCCTGGTATTGCCTGGCACCCACACACCACTGCCCCAGCTGGAAACACCTGCCCACAGCCCCCTCTTCCACCCTAGACCTACTGGTGCCCAGAAAACACGAGCTGTGATTCCTCAGGGATCTTCCAGAGCCGCACGGTGCCATCCCGTCCCCCCGATGTCACACAGCACTCCCGGCTCAGGCTGTCCAGCCCTGTGATGATGTCCTGGTGTCCGAACCTGGAGAAGGAGATGACAAAGAGCTATGGTAAACATGGCCCTCTGCTTCCTCACCTCCTCAGGGCTGCTGGTGCACCCCTTGGAAGGGTCAGTGGGATTTCCCCAGCTCTTACAGGGTCTCCACGTATGCATTCTCTGCCACATCCCAGACCTTGACGCAGCGGTCGTGGGAAGCACTGTACAGCTGGTGTGTGCCCTTTCGGAAGGACAGGCCCTAGGGACAGATGGATAGACATAGCACAGCTGTGATGGATATCAAGGAGGACACAGCTGCCTGGCCCCACAGGCACCATGCCCAGCGTCCCCAACTCACTGAAACAGCGTCACGGTGCCCTGTGAAGATGTGCAGGCGCTTGCAGGTGGCTGCATCCCAGATCATGATCAGCTTGTTCCTGTCTCCCGTAGCCTGGCAGATAGCAGGGGACGCCTGAGACTTTCACCTTGGAGACCCACATCCCACCCCTGCCTCCACTCCCACTCTATAGGCTTTGGGTGTCCCAGGGACCCATTCTTGACCCAGCAGGGGGTAGGGGCTGCTTTAACCCAGCAAGGCACAAGACTCTACTCCCAGGACCCTGGAAGAACACCCCCCATGGCCATCTCTCCACCCCCTGTCCGCATACCAGGTACTTGCCATCCGATGAAATAGCCATGCAAAGGACATGGGATGCGTGCCCCATGTGCCGCTCCTCCGTGCCCTTCTTCCCCCCAGGCACCACGCACAGCCTCTTTCCACTGTCTACCTCCCCTGCAAGAAAGTAATCACAATCATCCTCTGGGAGCCTCCCACCACACTCAAAAGTGTCAATGAGCCTTCCACAGAACCTGGAATTATGCACAATCCAAGAACTGCCAAGGGCCAAGCCACCTCAGTGGGCACTCGGGTGCCTGCAGGGTTTAGGCTTGGGAACAGCCGGTCATAGCCCCAAGTGAACACTTGCATTTAATGAGGGAGCCGTCCTTGGAAGAAGAAAAAATGAATCTGTCATCAGGAGAGATGACGAGGCAGGTAACAGGCAGCTGGTGTCCCCGCAGCACACGGATTCTGGCTGGATCTGGAGGCTGTACCTGCAGGAAGAGCAGGATGTGAGCTGGGCTGCCCAGGACCCTTCCCCAGGACAGGAGTACCCCAGCACAGCACCCTGACTTCTCCAGAGTGCCAGCAGCAGGGAGAAAGGCTGTAGCGGGCTGGCCATGCCTTAGTGTCCCCCAGGGTGGCACATGCAGTCTGGCACCCCCCAGCACTGGGCACTTACATCTTTGGCAACCAGGCGCTGTAGCCGGCCTTTCTGCTCCAACTGCGGAAAAAGGGAGAGGTTCAGCAGAGGTGGCCTCAGTCCCGGTCCAGCGGGAAGGGGACAGAACCCGCTGCTGTCAACGGGACCGAGAGGCTGGGCGGGTCCCCTCGCTCACCACGTCCTCCTTCAGCCGGTCGCCGATGAGATCCGCCGGCTCGAGTTCCTCCTCCTCCTCCGCCCGCTCCTCCTCTGCGGCGGGACAATGCATGAGGGTCAGGCTCAGCGCCCGGGCCCTCCCCGCGGGGCACTGGCGCCGGCCGGGACTCACCGAGCTGTCGGAGCTCCTCCAGGTACTGCTTGGCCAAGCGCAGCTTCTTCTCCTGCGGCGTTTCCTCCACCTCCTCCTCCGCCGCCTCTCGCCGCCGCCTCCCCAAAAACGGGCTGCAGGGACACGCGTGCGTGAGCATCGGTACCGGCACCCCCCACAGGTACCCGCACCCCTCTGGTACAGGCATTCCCCGGTCCGGCACCCCCTCCGGTACAGGCATCCCCCGGTCCAACATCCCCTCTGGTACAGGCATCCCCTGGTCCGGCACCTCTCCGGTACAGGCATCCCCCGGTATCGGCGCCCCGCTACGGTACCGGCACTCCGCAGGAGCAGCCCTTACCTCTCTGTCTCGGAGTCGCTAGACACTTCCTCGTCGGCAGGCCGACCGGCCGTCGCCCGCGGTCGCCCATCGGCGCCCGGTGCCTGCGGAACAAAATGGGGCGATCGACAGGACGAGACGGGACGGGCGCAGCGAAAGCGCCACGGCGGCGACTCCGGCGAGATAGCCCTTCCTCGCCCGCCTCCCTCTCCCTCTGGTCCGGCCCTTACCGCCGGCCGCGGCCGCCGCCGTGCCGCCACTCCGCGCGGGGCCTTGGCCCTTCTGCCGCCCGCCGCCGCCGCCATGCTGCCACCGCACGTGGGCCCCCCCGGCCGCCACCAAGGTTTCGGCCACGCCCCCAGCAGCGCCTATTGGCTGTGAGCGGGAGGATCCCTCCTCATATTGGCCCTGCGGCACCGCCTCCCGGTCGCGGAAGCGCGCCCTGCCCAGCTCCCGTCCGGCGGCCGCGCTGTCACTCGTGTGTGACGTCACATCGCAGACCCGCCCCCGACCTGGAGCTCCGCCCCCATGTTTTGGCCACGCCCCCTGCTGATGCCTCCGGTCCCCGACCCGGTCCCAGTCCCGGTGCTGGGGGGGTTCTTGCCGCAGGGACCGGCCATTCTTGCCGGGGACTCGCAGCCCGGGACCGGTCGTCAGAGCCCTAGGGCCCCCAGCGCTGCCTCCTCTGCCCTCCGTGGCCCTTTGGGCCGTCCTGCAGCTGGAAGCCCCTCGTGGTGACAGTGACAGTGTGTTGCTACTTTCTATAGCATGAACAACTCGTTCTGCCCCTCAGGGACCCTTAACCAGGCTCCACTGTATGGCCTGTGGAGCATGGCCTCTGGTCCCTTCCTATGTTCTTTGTGGAGTTTCAGGGACCCATCCTTGGCCATGCTGGGGTAGTGTTTGTGTCTGGGACAGTTGATGCTCTAAAGAGCTAAGAACTGCTTTTGTGCTGAAATTTTATTATGTGAAAACAATTTCTTTTCTCTTTGGCATAGGGGGAGTCAGGGAAGGACAGTGGGAATGCCCTGCACTGGTCTCTGCAATGCAACGGGCTTCGGGAGAGACTATCCCAGCCTGTACAAGTGGATGTGCCACCATCTCTGGCTGGAAGCCTGTCGAGTTTTGTTTTGGTCTTGGTGGCCCCAGGCTGCTGTGGAGCTGCTGCTCAGTCTCTGGGGCCGCAGAAACCCATGCCAGGGGTGGTGCAGAAGGAGCTGGGTGGACAAGGAACTCACTTCCCCATCTATCCAGGCAGCAGGAGCAGAAAGGCAGCTGTGGTCAGGGAGGGGAGCTCTACCTAGGAACTGAGCTAGCTCGAACTCATGGGCATATATCTGAAGGGTCCAAACTGCAGTGTCCAAAAGGCTGGCCAGGTTGGGTATCCCACCTTGGCCTCATCCATGTCCTGCACCTCCTGCTTCATTATCTTCTTTGTGGTGCCTTCTGTAAGCCCCATCAGGACTTGAAAGACATGGATGGAGAGCTCCCGCACAGTGTCTCACTCCTTGGGGTGGAGAGGAGTGTGTGAAGATGGACATCTCCAAAACAGCCTTGGACAGCCCTGCTCCAGAAGGAAGTGGAGCTGCAGCACTGCAGGTCTGCCCGGTGAGGCTTGGTGCCCCCGGGACTGGAGGTCCTGCGGAGGGCTGGGCAGGTCAGGGCAGGGTGTGCCGTCGTCCTGCCACGGCCAAGGGTGGATGGGTACGGGCGGGAATTCGGGAGCAGCCTGGAGCTGTGGGAGCAGCGCGGGGCTCCGGGGACGCGGGCAGTGCATCCTCCGGCCGGCAGAGGGCGCGAGCGGGGCTGGGCGGGGCTGGGCGGGGCTGGGCGGGGCGGGCGGAGGAAGTGACGGCGGCGGCGGGGCCGGAGAACGGTACGGGCGGGACCGGGCTGGGCTGGGGAGCGCCGAGGGGAGAAGGGCGGGAGAGGGGCTCAGTGGTGGCCCAGTGATGGGCCGGTGATGGGTTCAATGACGGGTTCAATGACAGGATCAATGAGGGGATAAATGATGGGGTCATTTATGGTGGGTCATGGTGGGTCAATGATGGGTCAGTGCTGGGGTCAGTGATAGGATCAATGATGGGTCGGTGGAGGGGTCAGTGATGGGCCAGTGAGAGGGCCAATGATGGGTTCAATGACAGGTTCAATGACAGAGTCAGTGAGGGGATAAATGATGGGGTCAACGATGGGTCAGTGCTGGGGTCAGTGATAGGCTCAATGATGGGTTGGTAGAGGAGTCAGTGATGAGCCAGTGAGAGGGTCAGCGATGGGGTCCGTGATGGGTCAGTGGTGGGGTCTGTGATGGGGTCAATGGCAGGTCAAACGACAGATCAGTAATGAGCTGAGTGTTGGGTCAGTGAGGGTCAGTGGTGGGGACCTGTGTTCATGGTGCAGCCATGAGATGGGAGCAGCAATCAGCTGGGTGATGCCCAGTATCTGTTTCAGTATCTGTGAGTGCTGTGTGGTTTGGAGCAATTAGGGTGCAGGCAGGGTGAGTGCCCTATGTGGGGTGCTGTGTGGGAAGCAGGGGGTGCTGTGTGGGGCCCTGGATAGACGTGTCATTCACACTGGGGAAGCAGAACCAGGCGCTGTGATTGGTCACGAGCCGGGGCTGCTTCCTGCTGCGCTGGCACCCAGGGCAAAGGAGCCAGCAGCAGCCGGCAGGGTGAGTGTGAGAAGGGTGAGCGTGAGCAGCGTGGGTGTAAGCAGGGTACAGGTGTGAGCAGGGTGAGTGCAGACAGGGTGGGTAGCAGCAGAATGAGCACAGAGAGGGTGGATGAAGGCAGGGTAAGTGCAGGCAGGGTGGGCGGCAGACAGATGCTGTTGGAGTCCTGGTGTGGCTTTGCTGGGCAGATAGAAGGAAACCATCACCCACTCAGGAGTCCTGGTGGGGTCTGGCATCTGAAGGGGAGAGTGCAGGCTGGGCTGTGAGTCAGGAGTCTTGGAGTTAGGGGGATGACCCCACCATCGCTCTTGGGGGCACCTAGGGTGTGGGAGCACAGGCTCAGGCCCTCCCCAACCCCCAGAGGGGAAGTGGGGCAGTTTGCTCAATCGTAGTTAATCAACTGGTGTGGTGGTTCTTCCTGCCTTCTGCCTGCAGCTTCTCCTTTGTAAGGGGAACTGCCAGGCTGAGAGAGCAGTTGGCACGCTGTAGGATAGGGTTTTCTCAGAGGCTCTTTGGACTCCTTAGAACCCCAGCTCTGAGAACATGTGTGATGAGCTAGCTGGTGCCAAGGTGGCAGGAGCTAGTGGCAGGGGCTGGGGAGGAGGCAACGCCAGCACTCTGCCTCCTGCCCCTTAGCTGGCTTGGCAGTGCTAAACCTTTCTTCAGGTCTCATGGCATGATTTCCTGGAGCTGGCACCATGTGCCACTTCCCTGCCATGAATCTGTTGTTTGACCTTGGACCCGCCAAAACTCCATGAACTCATCTGGCTATGCTGCTGGGGAACCGCGCCTGTACTGGGGCCAGTGGTGGGCTGGGGGGAACACACGCCTGGTCTGTGGCTCACTGCCTCTAAGCTGTGACCTGCTTGGTTTCCTGTCAGTGAGAAGAATGGGTTCCGTGTCAGAGGAGCTCAGCTTGGTCCCCTTGCACCAGAGGCCGGAGCTGCTGGAAGCCTGTGCCGAGCTGCTGGGCGAGGAGTGGGGGAAGAGCCGGGCATCGCGGCTCCACTCACTGCAGCGCTCCTCGGACGCCTTTCCCACCTGTCTGCTGCTGATCCGGAGCCAGGGCCCAAGCGAGACCCCTGCCGCCCGCGAGGGGCCCTGCGAGCTCGTGGGCCATGTCCGACTGTCCCGTGTGGTTGGCCGTCCCCATGACCTCTTTGTGGAGAGCGTGGTGGTGGCCCGGGCGCTGCGGGGCCGGGGCTATGGGCGGCGGCTGATGGAGGCCACTGAGCGGTGGGCCCGGGCCCGGGGCTTTCGCTGCCTGCACCTCACCACCCACGACAAGCAGCATTTCTATGCCCACCTGGGCTTTGTCCTGGGTGAGCCGGTGCAGAACATGGCCTTTCTCAGCCCGGCTATATCCTCTGAGGTGCTGCGGCTTTTCTCTGCCTCCTCCGGGGCTGCCACTGCCACCACTACCAAGCCGTGGGTACCCGCTGCCCCCCCGCCTCCCCTCCCGCCCCTCTCTGTTCCCCCACCGCCTCCCCCACCGACTGTCATCTGGGCAAGGGGTGTCCTGGCTGAGAGCAGCGAGCAGAGCCTCCTGGAATCCCCACACCGTGATGCCAAAGGGCTCCCCATCTTCTGGATGAAGAAGGATATCCGAGGGACTGGGGCCCCGAGCCACTGATTAAAAGCAGTGTGGGCGGGAGCTGCCCCACGCAGCACTGCCTGACTGCCTGCCATTCTTCAGGTCTGGCACCAGCTCCCCCAGCCTCCATGGTTCACTCTGGCCCCACTGCTGGGGGCAGGGAGGTCGTTCCCATGCCCTACCCTACCTGGGCATGCTGCCTCTGCTCCTGCCTGGCCCCTAGCTCACCTGGCTGGGGCTCTGGGACCAGCACAACCCCAGGCTGTGGGGTTGGCACTAGTCCCCAGGAGCACTGCCCAGTTCCACCAGTGTCTCCTCCACTCAGGATTTGCTGTGGGACAGCTGGGGCTGGTGGCATGTCGTGGCCTCCAGCATGGTCACAGCTGTCCTCACTGAGCAGCCTAGGGAAACTGAGGCACAGGATGGCTGGTGGGGGGGCACTGTGGGAGGAGGGCATGGCAGTGGCACTGCAGAATCGGGTCTCCTGCATTGTGTGGCAAGGGGGGCAGGTGGCCAAAGCCCCCTAAGGCAGCCAGCGTCAGTGAGGGCCAGAGGCATGGGAGCGGGAAGGTCAGAGAGAGTGTCCGGCCTCGCAATGAGGGATTAGCACTGCCCTTGCTGTATCACGCGGCCCTGAGCTCGTTCCCCGCCTAATCCCCTCATTCTGGGCAGTTGGCCAGCACCGGGCAGGGGCATCAGACCCCTCTGGCCCTGCTTGGGCTGTGAGGGAGAGAGCTGCCCCTTTGGCCCCACCATGCCTCTTGGGGGGACTGAGTCCTTCAGCAAATCACCCAGCCCGGCTCAGTGCTGTGCTGAAACAACAGGACGTCTCCGTGCCTCCACTCTGGGAGCTGCAGGGAAATTGAGGCACTGGGGTCAGTGCCTTGCAGTGCTACTCCAGAGCTGTGCCATGGCTGTGGTGGTGCAAGCAGGATCTCAGCACCAGAGAGCAGCAGGCAGAGGTAACACTGGCAGTGCTGAAGCAGGAGGGGTGTCAAACCCCCAAGGGTACCCAGTTGTGTCAGGTTTTGGAGTGGGCAGCATGTGTTTGCAGGACAGCCCCTGTGGCTAGTCCTAGTCTACCATGTGCCAGGGTGGCAGTACCTGCATTGCTGGAATGCCCACTGCATCCCACAGCCTCACCCCCATGGCTCTCCTTTCCTCACAGGGTGCCGGCCCCACAAGCAGCTCCTGAGGCGGGATGGTGCTGGTGCTGATGCTGGCACTGTGGGCCTGCCTGGCACTGGGCACAGCCAGTGAGGAGAGCCCGGCACCCGAGCCCCTGGCAGGTGGCCAGCCCTTTGCCGTGGTGTGGAATGTGCCCACCGGCCGCTGCCAGCACCGCTTTGGTGTGGGGCTGCCCCTCAGCGACTACGGCATCGTGGAGAACCAGGGCGGCCACTTTGCCGGCCAGAACATCACCATCTTCTACAAGAACAAATTTGGGCTGTACCCCTACCTGTCACAGCAGGGTGTCCCCCATAATGGGGGCATCCCCCAGCGTGTCTCCCTCGAAGCCCACATTAACAGGGTGGCCGAGGACATCCACATCCTCCTGCAGCCTGCTTTCCATGGCTTGGCTGTGGTGGACTGGGAGGAGTGGAGGCCCCTGTGGGCCCAAAACTGGGGGGTCAAAAAGATGTACCGGACAGCCTCAGAGCAGTGGGTGCAGGACCAGCATGGCATCCTGCCGGCACGGCAGCAGCTCCGACTGGCCCAGCTGGAGTTCGAGCAGGCGGCACGGGCTCTAATGGAGGAGACACTTCTGGTGGGCCGGGCCCTGCGCCCTGGGGGGCTCTGGGGTTTCTACCGCTTTCCCGACTGCCTCAACAGCAACTGGGCCAAGGAAGCAAACTACACGGGGCAGTGCCAGCCGGCAGAGGTGCAGCGTAACAACCACCTGGGCTGGCTCTGGGCCGCCTCTTCTGCCCTCTATCCCAGCATCTACCTGCCGCTGGCACTGCCGCCCGCCCTGCGCCAGCGCTACGTGCACCACCGGCTGCGCGAGGCCCTGCGTGTGGCCGCCTTCGGGACCGACGGCCTCCTGCCCGTGATCGCCTACTCCCGCCTCTCCTTCCGCCGCTCATCCCGGTTTCTGCAGCTGGTAAGCACTGTCGGGCCGCGGAGTGCTGGCCGCGGGTGCGTTGCGGGGTTCTGGTTGGCACAGGGACAGAGGTTGTGTCCCCCAGACCGGTCACATCTCTGTTCCTGGCAGGCTGACCTGGTGCACACCATCGGGGAGAGTGCGGCTCTGGGAGCGGCTGGACTCGTGCTCTGGGGTGACATGTTGTACTCTCGCTCGGCTGTGAGTATGGTCCCCTGCAGCACTGGAGATGGCATGGGATGTACGGGATGGTCACATCCCCTGTACCCACAGGGAGGGCTGGCCAGGGCTCTGTTGCTGTAGTGGGTTCTCACTGGTGCTTCCTCCCCAGGAAAGCTGTGCGAGCCTGCGCCACTACCTCGTGTCCACCCTGGGTCCCTACGTGGCCAATGTCACGGCAGCAGCCCGAGAATGCAGCTATGGGCAGTGCCACGGACACGGGCGCTGTGTGCGCCGGCAGCCCCACAACCTGGACAGCCTCCTGCACCTTGGCCCCAGTGCTGGCCCGTGGGCTGCTTTCCGCTGCCACTGCTACCGTGGCTGGGCAGGTGAAAGCTGTGACCAGTGGGTACGGCTCAGCCCTGCCACCTCCTGCCAGGTGCCCGCCCACACTCACAGCCTCTATGGGCACAAGGATCTCACATCCTCTGACACCTGCCTGCCACAGGGCACGTGGGGCTGGTGACAAAGGCTGGGGGCCGCCACGGTCCCCTACCCCAGCAGTGCTGCTGCTGGCACTTCCTATGATCTCATTAACCTAAATAAATTCTCCTGGCACAGCTGGCATGGTCTTTGTGGGCAAAACTGAGGGACTCTGTGGTGTGCCCAGGCCGGGCACAATTGCCATTGCTGCTGAGAGGGCTCTGGATGGGTCCAACAGTGCCTCAATTTTCCTGCATGGGCTCTGCCGTGATCCCATGGGCTGGCAGCCCCTTTACCCTGGGAAAGGGGGCATGGGGCACTGCCACAACCTGCTGTCCCTTTGCCACTGGCACTGTGCTGCCAGAGCCCTGACTACGCCACCGGGCCCCCCTCCCCATAGCTATTTTTATCGCCCCCCAACCGTGTTTCTCACTGTCCTATTTTAAGCGGTGCAGTTGGCGCACCGGGAACCCAGTGCCCAGCTCCTGGAGGCCCTGCACCACCTCACTGTCCGCTCACGCTGCCCGGGCACAGGGAGCCATGCCCAGGGAGGCTGCAGAAGGTACTCTGGGGAGTGGGCTTGGGGCTAGCGGGGACTCTAGCACCCTAGGGGACACTGGGTGATGCAAGGCTGTGGGGCTGGGGTGGAAGCAGTGGACAGATGATGCCCTCTGCCATGGGGGCTGTGGGCAGAGATGCCTGCCCAGGGAAAAGGGGGTCCTGGAGGGCTGCAGGTGTAGGGCAGCAGGGTCTGGGGAGGGTGCAGGCAGCTGGCGGGCACAGCCCCCTGCACCAAACCTACGCAACCAACTGTGCCCCCCCCACCGGTGGCAAGTGGGTGCAGGGGTGATGTGGGTACCTGTGGAGCAGTCCCTAACCAAGGGTAGGGCCACGGGGAGGGTCTGAGGGGACCCTGGGTACCAGCCGAGGCTCCCCCAACCCTGGCGCCTGCCAGCCCTGCGGGTGACACACAGTCTGGACAGCAGCAGCACGGCGCCATGCTGCCCTGCGACACGCCACTGACCCCGGGAGGGATTGGGAGTGGGCACACTGCCAGCCTGCCCTTCTCTGCCAGGGCACAGTGCGTGGGCCCTGCCCACTGCTCAAAAACACACAAACACCAGGAAAATAATCTTTTCCCTCTACCCCAATGCAAGCATGGTTGCTTCCCAAAACAGTGCTGGAGCAATGCCTACTTCCAAAAAGCCCCCTCAGTCCCATGTGATGTGTTCATTAGGGCAATGGGCACCAGGGCCCCCGGCACAGCATACACCCCACATCTCCTTCTCTGCACCCCAAAGCAGCACACTACCTGCGAGGCGAGCCAGGCTCTGCCGCAGACTGGCACTGCCCTGCACCTGCCCACCGGCTTCCAGCTGGCCCTTGGAGCCCCAGCCAGTCCCACAGTGCCTGGGCCATCCTGGCTGGGGGGTGGCACATTCCTGCCCCCAAGCCAGGGTCAGATTCCAGCCCCACTAACAAGGCTCCGGGATCCTGGCCACCAGGCACCCGCTAACTGCTCTGATGACAGCGGTGTGGCCAGGGATGCACAGACAGTGCTTGCCCACTGTGGCTGCAGGGCTATGCCAAAGGAACACCAGCCTTTTGGCTGCCTGCCCTGGTGCAGAACCCGGTTGCCAAGGCTGAGAGCCTCCCCGCTCTGGTCCCACAGGGGTGCCCAGGGCAGGCGGGCGCTGTGGGCAGGGCACAGGCTGACCCTTTGCCTCCACTCCAGCAGACAGCATGGGAAGGGCCGAGGGTGCTGTGCTGGCAGAGCCTGGGGACCCTGACAGCAGTGAGTCTGGAGCCATCAGCTTGCGCCCCGTGGAGTCCATCAGCGACCTGTACTGGGCCTCAGGCGGGCACAAGGGCACAGAGGGTGAGAGCACTGCAGGTAGCACTGTGCTAGCCCTGGCTGTGCCCATGGCCAGGCTCTGACCCCTTCTCTCCCCTGCCTGCAGGCAATGGCCCGGCTTCCTCCAGCAGCCTGCACCGGCCCCCACCTCGGCCCGTGTCCCCCGTGTCCCCGCCGCTCCTGCCCACCCTGCGCCCCGTGCCCACCACCAGGCCCTGCCCCTGCCTCGGCCCTGGCCACCCCCTGCTGCTGGCCCTGCTGGCGCTCCTGGCACTGTCGAGCCTGGTCCTGGCCACACTGGCCATCTACCTGAGTGGTACGTGGCACTGGGCAGGGTGGGGAGACTGGGAACTGTGAGGGGGCTAAACTGCCCCACCCTCAGCACATCCCCATCCTCTCCCCACAGTCCTGCAGAGCCAGTCGGTGCGGGCGCTGGCCCAGTGGCTGGAGAGTCAGGAGGACGCCGTGCACCAGCTACGGGCAGCCAGCAGGCAGCTCTGGGCCCACCTCAACACCAGTGCCCAGCCTGGCGGGCACCGCTGAGCTGCCCTGGCCCCACCACAGGCTCTGGGCTGCCACAGGAAGGGGCACCGAAGGGCAGGAGGGGGGAACGGGCAGCCTTACCCGCTGAGACCGGGCAGCATTGCCCCTTGGGGCACAGGGGCAATCCCGGCCCCTGCCCCAGGCTGAGAGAGAAAGAAACTGGGCTGTAAAGACCTGCATCCACCCCAAAGACAGCCCTTCCTCTTAATAAGGCAGAAGGCATACTTCAATTAGCCTTTTAATTACCTCTTACAGTCAAAGTCTTAGAAAATCACCATGATAGATACATTCCCAGGGTGGCAGGCACTGCCAACTGGCATGGCCCCATGCCTGCCTGGGCAGTGGCCCTTCCCCGTAATTAATTTCCAACAAGATTACTATTTCATATAAAACATTTGGCTGGAAAAGGGCTGAGTGGGCAGCTGGCAGGGCTGGGCAGAGCTTGCCACTCCACACTGCTCTGCCACCATCGCCGATGCCAGGCTGGCTGGGGAGGCAGGGGCTGTACCTAGCATGGCAGGGCGAGGAGGACACTCCTGCCACAGACACCAGGACCAGCTGCTCTGCAGCCCTGCACAGCTCTGCCCTCCCACCCACCCTTCAGGCTGTGCCAGGCCACCCTGGTGCCCCTGCAGGACTGGGGAGGGTGTACATGAGCCCTGCCGCTGAAAGAGGCTGAAGGAGCCTGGGTGACACCCCCTCCCACTGTGCCACATGGATCCCCAGCCACAGAGCAGGCACACGGCAGCAAGCCACCACCTCCCCCTGCTCTTCTTTTATCCTTCCTATTTTTTGGTTAAAAAAATAAAAGAGAGGGCAGCCCCTCCTTGGGGCAGCTCCAGGTATTAAATACTCTGCTGTACGCGAATAAAAGCCTGAGGGCTGGGGACACCTGCCCCTCACAGTGCTGGGTCTGCAGTCCAGGTGGGCTGGGGGCTCTGCCCCACTCTGCCCATCACAGCACATCCGCCCGCTTGTCCCGCACGCGGCTCCGGGCTTTGGTGCGAGCTTTGAAGGCAGCCGAGTTGTAGAGGTGCTAGAAGGAGGGAAAGAGAGATAGCTTAGGGATGCCCCCTCCCCAGCAGTGCCTTCCACACTCAGGCACTCATCTGGAGCCCACGGTGGCAGAGGATGGGACTGTGGGCACAAATCTGGGAGGTGGCAACCACCTTCTCGAAGCGGGAGACCTTGCAGGCTTTCAGTGCAGCCGCATCCAGCACCAAGGGGGGCCCGAGGCCGAAGATCTCCCGTAGCAGCTCATTGTTCTGTAAAAGCAGGAGTCTGTCAAGACTCACCAGCACCAGCCCAGCATTCCCTGGTGCATCTGCCCAGCCCCTACCTGGAGGTGGTGGTGGATGCCAGAGCCCAGCACCTCCTTGAAGGCTTGGTAGGTGCGCTGGCGTGCCCAGCTGTCCAGGTACATGCACTCCAGGCCAAATCGGATGGTCTCCTCCTGGTACTCCCCACTCTGAGCAGAGAGAGGGGCATCAACAATAACCTGGGCACCAGCCTATGTGGCCCCTGGCTCTCCACAGAGAGGAATCATCAGGCAGCTGGGAAACAGCCACATAGTGGCAGGGCAGGGCAGCACCAGGCTCTGGTACCTCGATGAATCGCAGGATGTCTCGGAAGATGGATCGCTGCCTCCGTCGGTCTGTCTTGGCTCGGTACTTGTTGCTCTCAGTAGCCAGGACCTTGAGTTGGGTACACAGGAACTCTGTATCTTGATGGCACAAGTCCTCCTGCCAAAAAGCAGGGGATTTGGAGGGATGAGCTCCAGGGACTGCCCACTGCCATGGCCAGGACAGGGCTGGGGCATCACAGGGGCCAGCCCCTCTGCCTGGGCACCTGGTGGTGACACTGGTCAATGCCAGTTCGGCTGGGGCACGGGCAGGGTGTCACAGCAGCTCCCTCCCTGCTGCCTGATAAGTGCCCACCCACTGCTCCCACTGCCACAGCCCATGCCTTACCTCCAGGTCCTGGGCCAGCTCAAAGAGCAGCGCAATTGTTTCCCCAGCCAGGATGCGCAGGGCAACGCTGCTGCTGGTCAGCAGTGGGGGCAGCTGCAGCCAGCGACTGCAACAGGGAGACAAGAGGGCAGTCAGGGAGGGCAAGCAGTGCCCCAGGGGCGCCATGCTCCGCAGCTGGCTGCCCCACACCAGCCTCCACTCACTCCTCACCCCACTCACTTGTCCAAAATGCTCCTGAGGTGGGAGGGGGGGCAGATGGTGAGGAGCAAGGACCATGACTGGAGCGCACTGCAGTGCAGAGGCCCGTGCTGGGCAGGTGCCGAGCCCAGTTCGCCTGTGCTGGGGGGACTGAAGATGGCCTCCAAGCAGGACAGGCATGAAACCAGGTCCTGGAGGAGAGAAACTTGCCAGTCAGACCAGAACTGCCATGACAATGCCACAGTGAGCTGTGCACTGGGGACCAAAGGGGTTCCACCATGCCAATGGGCGCCAGAAGCCCCTTGGGGCAGGAGAGGCTACTCCATCCACAACACCCCATCTCTGCAACACAGGCCTCCCGCAGCTCAGCTCCAGGCTGCCCAGGGAAGGGGCATGTGCTGTCACTGATGTCCCTGTACCCCTACTCCACCTCAGCTCCAGGCTGCCCTGGCACTATGGGCTGAGGGCAGGTGGCATGGCAGCCCCTGGGTGCCCTCTTTCAGGGGTACAGACAACACCCAGGTGCAGTTACCTCGAGGTCAGCAGCAGCAATGTAGCAGCACGTGCCCAGGGCTGTGGCACACTGGCAAGAGAAGTGAAGGAAACACAGTCAAATTAGGCCTGGCTGGGTCATGCTGGGCCTGATCCAGCACCCAGCCAAGGGACAGCTGGGCTGGGGTGCCCCTTCTTTGCCCCACCACGCTCCATAGCACCCAGTCCTGTCACCCTTCCGGGACTGCAGGGGCTCCCAAAGGCATTGCCTGGGGTCTCTCCACCACGAAGGTGTCCCCAGGAGGAAAGGGGCCAGGCCTTACGCTCTGCCGGGCACTGGGGCTGGCTGTGCTGTCTGTCAGGATGCTGACGAGCAGGGGCTTCAGGCTGCGGAACACCTCTTCTCCCTCCGGGCCAGAGCCCATCTGGAGGCAGAGGAGGGTGAGGACGGTGCCCGCCAGCGCCTGCTCCTCTCCTTTACCTGTGGGAAGCACGAGAGAGCTCCCTCAGACACGGCTCACCGGCCCCCCGGTACCGTCCCCCGCCGCCCGCACCCTGACCTTTCTTGAGGCACTTCTCCAGGGAATCGGTGAGCGTGAGGCGGCGCTCCAGCAGGAACTCGGACAGGGTTCTGGAGGACAGGGCCAGGCGCAGGCTCTGCAGTGCCGCCTGCCGCGCCTTGGCGCTGCGAGACACCGGGGACGTCACGGGCTGGGGGATCCCGGGACGGGACACGTCCCTGCCCCTGGCTGGCAGCGCTGGCAGGGACGGGCAGCGTGCCCGGAGCGCCCACGGGGGCGACAGCCGCTCCTCACCTCTTGTCTAGGAGGTTGTCCATGTGCTCTTTCAGCCTGTCCTCTACCTCCTCCTCCTGGCCTTGCTCACTCGCCGCCTCGCTCCCTGCCCGGGCAGCACCACGTGAAGCCAGGGAGCCCGAGAGCGGGGGACACCGCGACCTACGTGGGGGTCACCATGGGGTCCGCGTGGCTCACCTGGTCCCTCATCGGCGGGGCCGGCGCTCTCGCTGGCACTGCTGCAGTGGCTCAGCACCTCGCTGCCGGCCTCCTCCTCGCTGCCGGGCGAGCTCGCCCGGGCGCTGCCGGTGCCGCCTGCGAGGGTGCGGAGCAGACTCGTGTGAGCCCGGCGCTGTCAGCTCGGCCATGTCACACACGGCCCCCCGGCCCCGCTCCCCGGCTCCCCTCGCCCGGGCCCCCCCCACTCACGGCGCGCGGCGCGGCGGGAGCGCGGCATGGCCGCCGCGCGCGGACCCCGCGCCCCGCCCCTGGGCCCGCCCCCGACTCAGGCCCCGCCCTCTGGGAGCGCCCCCCACCATCTGCGCGTGCGCCGCGAGAGCTGCTCCAGTCGCGGGCTCTTGTCGCTGTCCCTGTTCTTGCCCGTCTCCCTGGCCCAGTCCCGTGTCCCTCTCTCTGCCTTTCTCCCTGTCCAGGCGCTATGTTAATCCCTACTCCCTCAGTATCCCTGCCTCTCTCCCTGTCTTGACACTATCTTTATCCCTGGTCCCTAATAGGAAAGATGTGTACTGAAGTCTTTACAAGCAATTCGATGGGTGAGGGTTTTTAGGAGAAATGAGTGTTCCTGTCTTTGGGATGGGTCTAAATGTCTCTACTAACCTCAAGCCACACAGGTTCGGTACAGAACCCAGACAGTTTGACTACAGTTTGAATTCCTGAACTTTGAATTCCTTAGCTTCAGGGCAATAGACAAATGGGTCTGCACAAATTCTACAGCAGAACTCAGATAGCCTGAACTTCTGAAGTTCAGGGGAAAATTATATGTTCAAGGGAGAAACGTGGTAGGCGGTTCGGAAAGGCTGTACCTTCCTAGTACCTCAGCCAATGGGGAAAGGAAGAGAGCAACATGCAGCTGGGAGTTAGGATAAAAGGAGGCTGTATCAGAACGTCGGGAGAGAAACCCTTTGGGGGCATGGCCCAGTGGAGTCTCTCCCTTTATTCAAATAAATTTGCAGGACTCCTCTGTCTCCTTTATGGACACTGGCTTTTTCTAACGTGATTTTCTGCACATCTCTGCCCCTGTCCCTGTCTCTGTCCTGGCTCTGTCTTCATAGCTGGCCACTCACTATCCCTGCTTGTATCCCTTCTTTTGTCCCTGCCCCTGCCTGCATCTCATTAGGAAAATCTCATTCTCTAAGTAAAGTACCAGTTAGTCTCTCTATTACGAAGTGTTTTGGCCTTTACTAAGATCTATATACCCCGTACTATGTTGTACACTGCATAACTGTGGTTGGGTAGGCAGGCAGATAAGGCCCACAGCCTGGGCCCTCCAACAGCTCCCTGGGTGCTTCATCTGGCTTCACAGATAAACACCCCTTGAGGTAGTGAGACTGACTCTAGAATGAGGAAAGAGGGATGCCAAAGCCATAGAATTACACTTGCTTTATTTACAAAGCCATGGGGACAGCAGGGAATTGATGAAACCTTGCTGTACCCCAACAGTTGAAGGGTGTGAGAGCCACATGTGAACCACATTTGGGTTGCCTCGATTTGACTAGGACAGCCCCTGAGTGTGAATAAAGAATGTCTCTTGTCATGCTCATCTTGGTGTCCTCATTTTGTTCCTCAGGCTGCATGAGCCAGGTGTGAAATGTCCATGACACCTGTCACTGCCCACAGCTCTGCCCCTGCATGTAACCCTGTCCCCAGTACCGGTCCTCTCCGTGCCTCTCCTCCTAATAACCCTGCCCTTGCCTGTATTCCTGCCCTGTGGTCACCCAACACTAAGGGGACACCTACCCCTCCTCCTGCCCACATCCCTGACCTGGCCATTTGCTGCTGCTGCCAATCACAGAATCACTGGGTTGGAAGAGACCTTCAAGATCATTGAGACCAATCCATGCCCTAACACCTCAACTAAACCATGGCACTGAGTGCCACATCCAATCTTATTTTAAACACAACCAGGGATGGTGACTCCACTGCCTCCTCAGGCAGATCATTCCAGTACTTTATTACTCTTTCCATAAAAAAACTTTATCCTAATATCCAATATCTCTACTTCTGTCCTTGTCCCTACTCCTGAGTATATCCCTGTCCATCTCTCCTCTGCCCTATCTGTACCCCATTCCTGTCCCTGACCCCAAATGGACCCTATCTCCCTCTTACTCATATCCCTGCCCCTGCTGCTGACCTTGCTTTGACTCATTCTTGTCCCTATCCCTGGTCCTCCCTTCTTCCCTTCCTCTCCTAAGCCTCTGCCTGTCTCCTGTCCATGTTCTGACTCACTGCCCCTTTTTGCTCCTGCCCCTATTCCCTATCCTGCCCCTATTCCCATTATTGCCAGCTCCTGCTCCCAGGAGCACACTCCCCTTCTACCTACAGCCTCCGCCCATCCTCCTGGCCCTGCGCCGAGTTTGTGAGTTTCTGTTATTTGGCTCTTCCCTGTTTATTTGGGCCAGGAGCGCAGTCGCGGGTTCCTTTGCACTTTCGTTTCCAACTTGGCAGAGGCAGAAACTGAAATTGCGTCAGGAACGGAAAACGAAACTCCAGATTTCCCAGCTTAAGGTAGCACGGGCCATAACATCCTACACGTACTAGCTACTGCCTCTCTACCACCCCCACCCTGAGCTGGATGTCAGGGTGATGTGCAGCCACTCCTGCCCCCTCCACCACCCCGCGGTGGTGGCACCGGAGACACCCGGGGGATGCCGTGGGAACGACCTGGGTCCACCTTAAGTTCCCGGCGGTGACGCACTGGGGCGGTGGCCCGGGAAGATTTAAAAGCTGCTGCAGACAGGAGCAGGCTGTGGGGAGTGGGAAGGTGCTGACGGGAGTAGACGGAGCGGGCAGCAAATTCAGAAAAGGGCAAAGGGAGCGACACACCTGTCAGTACGGATATGGACTGGGCGACATCCACGGACGGACTGAGAACAGTAACCACCAAGAAGTTGGATGGCTGGATCGCGGACACCCTGCAGCCCAGCCCAGCTTTCACCATGCAGGTGAAGGAGGCAGTGGGGCAAATCTGTGAATTTCTGAAGAGGAACTGCTTTGGGGATGAAATCCACGTTCTAAAGACTGTCAAGGTGAGTGCTGCCTAGCTTGGGGGCCAGCTGGCACCCCTGCTGCCACCCATGTCCCATGCTCCAGCTCCTGCCCTGCCTCAGTTTCCCTTGGCAGCTCCAGGAGTGGTGGCAGCCGATCCTGGTGCTGGCAGTGGCACTGAGCAGGCAGGGTCTCTCTCTGCAGGGCGGATCAGCAGGCAAGGGCACAGCTCTGAAGAACAACTCTGATGCTGATGTGGTGCTCTTCCTCAGCTGCTTACCCAGCTATGAGGAGCAGAAGAAGAACAGAAAGCATATCCTGGATTTGATCATGATAAGGCTGAAGGCTTGCAGGGAGAGCTTGCAGTTCAAGGTGTACTTCAGTGAGCCCAGGTACAAGGGGCCTGACAACACGCCGCGCTCCCTCAGCCTTACTCTGTCCTCCACGATGACTAAAGAGTCCATTGATGTGGATATCTTGCCTGCCTATGATGCTTTGGGTAAGGGCTGCAGGCTGGCACAGGGATAGGCAATGGTGTCAGTACTGGGATGGCTCTCACTCTCCTTCTCACCCACAGGGCAGGTGACTCAGAATGCCCGACCAAATGCAGAAGTGTATGTGAGACTCCTGGATGCCCGCAGCCAGCCCGGGGAGTTTTCCCCGTGCTTCACTGAGCTGCAGAAGAAGTTTGTGAAGCGTTGCCCTGCCAAGCTGAAGAACCTCCTGCGCCTGGTCAAGTACTGGTACAAGAAGGAGGTGAGGGGCTGCCCAGCTTTCCCAGTTCCCAATAGACACCCATCCCAGCCAGCTCTCACCCCCATCTCTGTTTTCTCCCCAGCTGCTGAGTCCACAGTACCCCAATGCGCACCTGCCCCCTAAGTATGCCCTGGAGCTGCTGACCATCTATGCCTGGGAGGAGGCCACAGGCTCCTCCGACTGCTTTGACATGGCTCAGGGCTTTCGCACAGTGCTGGAACTGCTGCGCCTGCCCCAGAAGATCTGCATCTACTGGGAGACGTACTACTCACTGAAGGACAGAGAGATTGGTGCCCATGTCAAGAGGTTGCTGCGCAGTTCCCGGTGAGGACCATGCCCAGTGGGATTGTGCCCGCTAGCCCCATGGTACTGACCAGGGCTGACAGCAATGCCCACTCTCTGTGTTTGCAGCCCTGTCATTCTGGACCCTGCTGACCCCACGGGGATCCTGGGCCAAGACAAGGACTGGCTCTTGATGGCACATGAAGCTGCCAGATACTGCAGCTCACTGCCCTGCCTTCAAAATGTCCAGCCCTGGGATGTGCAGGTAAGGCTGCCTGAGCCTGTGAGTATCACAGTCCCCCACCCCTGCCCCTGCTGTTTTGCCCACCTGCTCTCCTGTCCCTGCAGCCAGCCCGGCCCGTGACCATTGAGGTGGTGCAGTTGTTAGGTGACAGACTGACAAGGACTGTCAGCCCCTACACCACCATTAGGGAGCTGAAGGAGATGATCCAGCAACTGTGGGGCATCCCGCCATACACACAGCGCCTGGCACAGCAGGACTCAGGCAGAAGCAACATCATCCTACAGGATTGCGATACCCTGGCCGAGCATGGCATCTTCTACAACACCACGCTGGTGCTGCTGCAGACTGAGCCTCAGAAGATGGAGGTCTTTGTCAAGGATGATAAGAATCGGACCACTACCTACACGGTGCTGCCCACTGACACCGTCCGACAGCTGAAGGAGCAGATCCAGGCTCGGCAAGGGCCTTCTGCTAATGAGCAACGCCTGACCTATGGCCCCCAGGAGCTGGAGGACCAGCACACACTGGCGCACTACGACGTCAAGCCCATGAGCACAATCTACATGCTCCTACGGCTCCGGGGGGGTGCAGGCTCCCAGCTCTCCTAGTTCCCTGCATGCTTGCCTTCCTGAGCATTGCCCTCAGCACCAGCCCATGCCCCTGTGTACCCTCCTGTCATGCTGGAAATAAATACTTAGTAGACCCTTGAGCTGCTTGGTCTGTTGGGAATAGTGACAGGTGTCACATGGGGTGGTCAAAGGGGTTGGAGCCACCAGTCCTTTGGGGTGAGGGGGGGCCTCAATGCTGCAAGCTGCTGAGATGGCATAGGGACAGAGAGGTGCAGTACAGCAGTGCTTGGTGGGGTCAGGCGTGCCAGCCTGCTGACAGCTGGACCTCGTGAGAAAAAAACCCAGCTCTTTTCTCTGTCTGCTCCTGCCTGCACCACTGCCTGCCTGTGCTCAAGTGTCTAGGCTGGGGTGCAGCCAGAGCTGGGACGTGGTTTGTGCTAGTAGCATGGTGTCACCAGAGGCTGTGGGATGTGGCCAGTGCCACCAGGTGTCCCGACAGCAGGAGGCAGCAGACTCCGAGGTCACCTTTGGTCACTGACTTAATTGCTGCCTGCTGGCACTGGGGAAGTTTGGTTTTCATCTTCCAGAAATCAAAGTGGAGCTGAAAGTACGGGGAGCTGGAAGACTGAGGGAAACCCATGAATCTTGGCAATGTCCCTGCAGGTCTTGTCTCCCTTCAGCCCTCCAGTGTTACCGAACATCCCACCCCTTTAGCCTTAGGGCGCCAGAGTGGATCGACGTTGTGAGGCACCGGACTGCTCCCGACAGTGCTTCCTAGGGCTCTGGGTCAGACGCAGGACCCTGGGCGGCTGAATCTGCTTTATTGTGCTCAGTTAGTATAAGGTCCCCTGTGCCACTGGTCTACACCCAGGGCGGTGGGTGCCACCTTTATGCCCCCCCACATCTCCTCTTTGTGTCCCCCTCCTCCTGCTGGGCCCCTGTGTCCCACCAGTGCCTGTCCTGCCCCTCTGTGCTCCCACTCCTGCCTGTAGCCCCTTCGGGACCCGAGTGTCACCCAGCTGTGCCGTCCTCACGCAGTACCGTGCTGGGGGGAGGGGGGCACTGCCTGGCCCTGCAGGTTTACATTCATCGTAACAGTCGTTAATAAATATTTCGGTGACTCTGCGATGCTGGCAGCCGGCTGGGTCCCCACCGGTGTTGGAGCCGGTGGCGAGGGCAGTCGGCAGCCCCTCAGGGGGCTGCTCAGCCCGGCTGCCCTCCTGCGGCCCCGGAGCTGCAGCCCCCCGCCACTGCCCACGCAGTGCTGCCGGTAGGGCGGCCGAGGCTGTGCCCCACCTGCGGCCCTGCCCCTAGGCAGAGCCCGGCGCCCGGGGCCGACCCCCGGGTCACCAGGGGGATGCGCTGCGGGGGCCCCGCTCGGCCCGCGGCCCCTCGTGGGTGCGCCGGCGACGGGCTCTGCGCGGCTCCTCGCCCTGCCCGCGCCCGGGGGCACCGGCGGGAGCGCGGGCTGGTGGCGGGGGTCTTCCCCGGCTCCAGAGCCTCTGGCAGACCTTGTCCGTGGCTCCCAGCGGTGGGCGCTCCACCAGCTGGAGGAAGTCCCGGTACCAGACCTTGCGGCCGGGGATGGCGGCAGCGAGCTGGGCGTCTCCGGCAGATGCCACGCCCGTGGCCTGCCAGGGGCCGATCACCTCCAGGGAGAGTCGCAGCAGGGGCTGGGTGAAGCCGTGCTCGGTGGCGTGGCAGAGGTAGAGGCCGGCATCAGATCGCTGCACGCTGCGCAGCAGGACACCCCGCTCTGTCCGCACCACCCGCTCGTCCATCTGCACCTGCAGCCGCCATGGGGATGAGAGGTCAGCTCGGCACGACATGGCACAGTGCCACCGGCGGTACCCGGCCAGAGACAGCCTACCTCTCGCTGGGGATCGTTCAGGGTGCGCTGGTATGTCCAGAAGATGTGGGCTTGCAGGGATTTGGGGATGCACTCCAGAAAAACAGTGCTTCCTTCCACTCCGTAGAGTTGCTTCTGGGGCACGGTGTCCCGCCTGGGATCTGCAGGGACATAGCGTGGCTGTCAGCCCCTCACCATGGCAGGGCTGGCTCCCAGACTCTGTCTGAGTCCCAGCTCACCTTCAGAGCAAAGCACGTTAGGGTCACCATTGCGGACATCCTGCCGGCGGAAACGCCTGTGGGAAGGTGATGGAGGAGCAGGGGCTGCAACAGCGTGACCTGTGCTCCTCATCATGAACTCGGGGCAGGCTGGCTGCCCCACCACTGCATCCTGGCATGTCACCTACCTCTTGGTGTTGGGCACGTAGCGGGTGCAGGTGTTGCCATCCCAGGCGCAGTATGGGTCCCGGGCCAGGCAGCACTCAGCACAAGCTTTGCCATAGGCACTGCAGCGGTGCAGGGGCAGCTGGGCCAGCGCTGTGGCTGAGCCAGCATACAGTTGATGCTGGGGGAAGAGCAGAGCTGAGCACCCCCATGCTGTGGCACGGGCTAGGCAGAGCCACAGTGCACACAGGAATGCCCAGGGGTCCCCCCTTACCCGCTTGGAGGAGAGCTGCAGGCTGGTGATAGGGGAGGCATCCTGTGGGCAGAGCATGGGCAGGAGTTAAGGGTGCATGGGGGAACCTGGGTATGCAGCCTCCTGCCTCCCATATCCTGGCAGCTGGAGTGCCCTGGCACAACCCAGAGCATGGACCACACATGAGGGTGCTTTGGGGAAGTCTTACTGGTGGGATGTGGAACCCTGACCCTCACCTGGAAGACCTGCAGTTCCTCCAGCAGCAGCGGCTCCATGCGGTGCCAGCTCTCCTTGGGCACTGAGACCACCTTCAGCACTGTGCCCACATCTGCAGGCAGGGAGGGGTGAGGCCACGGGTCCCAGCCCCAGCATCCCCCTGCTCTCCCTCACTGTGCCCCATCCCTAGGGTCACTACATGCCTGTGCCAATGAAGAGGACATCATAGTGGCCATCAGCAGCGTTGACACGGTCGACAGCAATGCGGGTGAAAGTGTAGGGTGTGGCAGCTTGCAGGAAGAGAGGGCGCTGGCCATGGGGCAAGACAGGGTTATACATCAGCGGGTGGTGACGGGCAAACTGGATCACCTCATCTGGGAAGTCCTTGGTGGAGCCAAAGGTGCCAAAGGTTTTGCTGGGGCACTGCAGGGAGACAGCACTGGCTAAGCAGGGTCTCACACTCCACTTCCCCCACCCCACGGAGTGGCATCCCACTGGTGGCACCAGCCAGGACACCCCTACACCACATACCATGCCTGGGCGGGGGTATGGCACACGCCCCTGGTATGACACCCACTGGTAGTTGGGACCTTCCTTGTGTGCAAAGGGACCCAGGAAAGCCCGGCGGATGTCAGCCATGGTGTAGACACAGACAGCTGAGCCTTGGAAAACAGAGCTGGTGGGAGAGAGAGGGGAAAGATGTGAGGGGGACAGGGGGACATCACTGGGTATGTGCAGGGAACTGGGGAGGGGGCTTGACCTGGAGGTGGAGAAGATGGCATAGACCAGAGGGTTGCGCTTGTCTTTCGTCTGCAACAGGAAAACATCCCCTGCAAGCAGGGAAGGCATCAGTGCTGCCAGTGTTGCTCACAGCTACACTGGTGGGGTCACATCCCCGTTCACTCACGGAGCTCATCAAAGTGGGTGTCTGCCCCGTCAGGTCCTGGCATGGCACAGACTAGCCGAGCCTTTAGGAATGTTGTCCACTTATTCACCAGGCTGCGCTGCCCGCCCATGTCATTCTGCCAGGGAAAGGAGGACACGGGTGTCAGCAGCAGCAGCTGGCACTCCTGGGCACCCTGGCCCTCAGCCCACCTGTCTGTGGATGCTCTCACCCGGCAGATTTGGCCAATGCGGGCGAAGCTGGTCTTGCCCAGCCCCTGCTGCCATTCAACTGCTGTCTCACGGAAGAAGAAGTAGATCTTGTCGTCGTCGGGGTCCTCGCTCTCTGGCACCCAAAAAACGGCCACGAACTTGGGCTCTGGGGACAGAGGAGTGGTGCTTCCAATACCTCTACTAGTTCTGCTGCCCAAATACCCTGGAGCACCTGTTAGGGTCCCAGGGGAGGGTGCAGAACCAACCCTGCCCAGCTGCAGAGCAGAGGCAGAGCGAGGCTGGGACTCCACCAGACACTGGGGGTCTGGAGGAAACACAGGAACCCCTGAAATCACCCTCTGGAGGCAGTGAAGGACAGTGTACATCTGAGCCTGAAGGAGTCATTGCCCTGATGCTTCCAGGCAGCAGCACTGCTGTGCCAGGGTGCCAGTGGCCCCCCTCGCCCCCCGCCCTCCCAGTCCCCAGCACTGACCGTTGAGCCAGCGAGAGTCGTGCTGCTCCGTGCGGATGGAGGGACGCCGGCCCAGGCTGCGGAAGATGGTAAAGTCACGGCCCATCAGATCGGTGGCCACCCCAGAGTAGAGCTCCTCGCCTGGCAGGCACCGAGGGAAGCGTTATAGGGGACCCCCCCGGCACCCCTGTGCCACGCTGCACCCAGTACCAGGCTCAGAATGCCCTTACCCACAAGGACAGAGGCAGCTGTATGCCGGGGGTCATAAGGGCTCTTCCCTTTGCCATCCTCAGTGTGGTGGAGGTCCAGCTTGAAAACAGGCTCCTGGAGAGGGGTAAGGATGGGAGGTGGGCAGTTTGCAGCAGCTGGGGGCTGCGGTGGTGCCAGGGGAGGCTCACTTCTGCATGCTGGCCAGCCTCGACAAAGGCACAGACTGGGTGGAAGGCACCAGTGCCACAGGCGTACAGGTGGGTCCGGTTGTAGGGGTGCAGGATCTTCACAAAGTTCATGCACTCAGCCTGGGGATGGAGGGAATGAAGGGTGAGGTAGTGCTGGGGCAGATCCCTGGTACAGTCCTGGCATTCCACAACACTCCCCATCACTCACAATGATGTCCTTGCCGGCCCAGTTGCATTCCTCCCTCCACTCCACGGGAGCCGGCCAGTAAATCTGCGGGAGGAAAAGGGGATGCTCACAGCACCTGGTGCACCCACTACTGCCCTGCCAGCATGTCCCCCCCGCCCTGTTACCTTCCTGTCCCGCTGGCTGATGTCATCCAGGGCCAAAGAGAGGAGGTGGTTCTGGGCGCCCACGAAGAGACGGCCGCGCTCTTCGTCCAGGAGCAGGGCCTCGTAGCAGCAGGAGTGCTCCAG